CATTTCTTCTTCTTGTTTTTTTTATTGCTTAAAGTATTACAAAGGGTATTTCATATGTGTCCATTTTTCCCCCCCGCCCTAGACAGTCCCTAGCCTCCCCCATCCCCCAGTGTCTTATGTCTTAAGTGTCTCTTTTAAAAATATGTTTATTGATTTTAGACAGAGGAAGGGAGAGGGATAGAAAGATAGAAACATCGATGAAAGATGAAAGAGAAACATCGATCAGCTGCCCCCTACCAGGGATCAAGCCTGTAACCCGGGCATGTGTACTGACCAGCAATGCCCTCCTGGTTCATGGCCCGAGCTCAGCCAATTGAGCCACACCAGTCAGGGCGTCAGCTTCTTTAAAAATGTTGCTGGCCGAAACCGGTTTGGCTCAGTGGATAGAGCATTGGCCTGCGGACTGAAAGGTCCCGGGTTCGATTCCGGTCAAGGGCATGTACCTTGGTTGCGGGCACATCCCTAGTGGGAGATGTGCAGGAGGCAGCTGATCGTCCCAGGTTCGATTCCGGTCGGGGGCATGTGCCTGGGTTGCGGGCACTTCCCCGGTGGGAGATGTGCAGGAGGCAGCTGATCGATGTTTCTCTCTCATCGATGTTTCTGGGACCTCCTCTCTGTCTCTCTTCCTTCCTCTCTGTAAAAAATCAATAAAATATATTTAAAAAACAAATAAAAATAAAAATGTTGCTGGAATCAATGGGAAATGAGATCTGTGGTTCCCACTGTATTTCCATCAGCAGGCGCCGCTCGAATCCAGCTGGGGTAAAGTCCACCCACCAGCTCCTGTCGGTGCCTTCCTCTCTGTAAACACACAGGGTCACACAGGGTCACACAGGGTCACACAGTCCCAGGTCTTCCAGGTGAAGTCCTCCTTAATCTGGTTCCCGGTTAGACCTCAGAACACCTTTGCCTTAGGCCCTGTCTTACAAATTAAATTTGGCTACTTCATGGGCCCTGGACGGGGTTGGGAGAGGACCGAGTTTCCCCATCTACCCATCGACCCACCCCCAAACCCCAGAGGCTCTGGGCAAAGGGTGGGAAGAGGTGGGTGAGAGGCAGGTGGAGAGTGGAGGCGGGGAAGGGGTGGCTTCCCCCCTGCCCTTTCCTGTTCTTGGGATCTGGATGCCTCCCTTCACGTCCCTCATAAAGCGAACAACTCAAACTCCACTAGTAATATCTATAATTTTTTTAAAAAATGGTGCTGTCCTCAGGGAGAAAGTGCTTTCTCCCGTGTCAGGAATGGACTCCTCCCGTCCTTGAGATGCTTACTGTATCTTTCATAAAAAGGACTCTTTTTCCACCCTGGCTGGTTAGCTCAGTGGTTAGAGAGTGGGTCCCGCAGACTGAAGGGTCATTTCCTGGGTTCGATCCCTGGCCCCGGTTCCATGTCTCTCTCGGTGTTTTCCTCCCTCCCTTCCGCTCTCTCTCTAAAGATCAATGGGGGAAAATATCTTCCAGTGAGGAATAAAAAAATAAAAATAAGAAAAGGACCCTTTCCAACTCTTGTAATGGTTGCAGGTCTCCCGTCAACCATTATTAGTTACGGTCTCTCTTGGTTACTAAAGCAGCTGAGCCATGTCCGTCTTCCTAGAACCCATAATTGGACGTTTCCAGGAACGAGGACACTCCCCCAAAGGCTCATTCCAAGAATACCAGGCTTCGGAGATTAGAAAAGGATGGTGGGTGGGGTTTACATCCTGTGGCGACAGACGTGGACTCTTCCCGTACCCTTTGCCCCAAATTTCTCAATGGCCCCGGGGCGGTCCAGTTCCGGAGGCCTTGCCTTCCCCAAAGTGGGTCCCCGGGACCTAACACAACGGACCCCCCTATTACTTCCTTTTAACCAGCGTTGTTCAGTACCAGGTCCCATTCTTTTTTTTTAAATTTTTTAAAAATATATTTTATTGATTTTTTATAGAGAGGAAGAGAGAGGGACAGAGAGCTAGAAACATGGATCAGCTGCCTCCTGCACATCTCCCACTGGGGACGCGCCCGCACCCAAGGTACATGCCCTTGACCGGAATCGAACCTGGGGCCCTTCAGTCCCTAGGGTGACGCTCTATCCACTGAGCCAAAGCAACTAGGGCTCAGGTCCCATTCGTGCTGAGAAGCTGCAAGGCTGGAGGAGGAGGAGACTCACAATTTTGACTTGCTATCTGTATAATGGCGTTATGATTTGCAAAACAAAAAAATAAAAATAAAAAATAAGCATTGTATATTGAAAAGTGATGAAAAGCCAAAATATACTGTAAATCTGGCTGACCCTTCCTGGCTGTGTGACCTTGGGCAAGACAGTTAACCTCTCTGGACCTTAGTTTTCGCCTCCGCTTGCAGCAGTTCTCAACCTGTGGGTCGCGACCCCTTTGGCGGTCGAATGACCCTTTCACAGGGGTCGCCTAAGACCATCCTGCATATCAGATATTTACATGACGATTCATAACAGTAGCAACATGACAGTTATGAAGTAGCAACGAACATAATTTTATGGTTGGGGGTAAAAACATGAGGAACTGTTGTTTATAGGGCCAGCAGGTTGAGAACCGCTGGATATGAATGGCTGTCAGCCCTGGGACTCTCGGTCTGACAAGTTAGGTGGGGACTTCTCGGCCGCCAGACAGGGGAGGAGGCGGGGACAGGGACCTCTTCTTGGAAGAAGATTGAAGGAGACGTGGGTGGAGGAGATTAGGGAGAAAGGGGAACAGACAGACGCTTGCGCAGTAAACACCTCACGCTTTCTCGTCCCTCCCACATCCTTCTCTGCAGCAGGGAATTGCAGGCGGCGCTCCACCTATCCCAGCCCAGCCGAGTGACACCCTCCCTTAGCCATCTTTCATCGCGCTCCTCCCGCCCATATAACCGCCCACTCGGGGGCGGGACTAGGACCGACACAGCGAATCCGCGATGCCTGCGGGGGCGATCTCCTCGCCCATTGGCCTCAGCCGACGCAAGTCTCACCTCCTCGAGCCCGCTCCCCCGCCTTCCTTCACGTCAATCCCTCGCGGAGAGCGTCCTGATCCAATCACTGCCGGACCCAGCCGCGCGGAGGGGGCGGTCCCACCGTGCGTAATCGAACTCCGCCCGTCTCTTGGGCAACGCCTCCTCCCAAACGGAAATAGCGGGGCGCAGGACCAATCGCAGCGGCGTGCCTTTGTCCTGTGGCCAATGAGCGAGGGAGCGAGGGAGAGCCCGCGTGTGAGCGGCAGTAACTTGAGCCAATGGGCGGTGAAATCTCAGGCGGACGAGGAGAGGGGAGGGGCTGGGGGCGGTGCTGCGGCCTTCCAG